GAGCTCCCCCAGATGATGGAGCTCCTCACCCTGTCTCTGAAGCTGAGCCCTGCTACCCTGTGAAGTAAACCTATTTTAGCTGTTTGTATTGACCATTCCATCCTGCAAGAAGCCCAGATAGTTAAACCCCTCCACCTAAAGCAATATCACCCACCCACCCCAACCCAGAGGGGGCATTTTACCTGTTTAAACTTAATATTGTTATGTATTTATGTTTTTCTAAGTTTATTCTGAAGTCTCTCAAGTAACACATACCATTGATTATATTTCTCCATCCATCCCTCTTCTCTCCTCAGTCATTTTAAAAGTTTTACATATAGTATCAGCTGCCTGTGAACCTTTATCTTTCTCTGAATATGAGTCTCCCTATTCGCTCTCCGCCCCTGTCTGCCTCGCTGCACTCCCCGACAATCCCACCAGCAGCTTTCCCTGACAAAATTACAAGATAATGAGGCATGCAGTGCCAGGGTTGGGTGCCGTGCCGCCATCTTCTTCCTGTCTGCTCGGAGTTTGGGATTATGTTAATTGCTTTTCTGCATCTATGTCCCATGCTGATCTGGCCCACACACAGACATGCGCAGCAGATAAACAGAAAACACCATTGCATTCACACACTGGCATGAATGAAGCAGTAAATGTCCTTTCCTTTCCATTTAGTAAGCAGATCAAAATCTATTTTTCCTCCAAAAGCGAAGCAGTTCAATACTTGACCTGGCAGAAATGTGCATTTGTTTGCTTGCTGCGTGTTTTTAATGCCCGCAGCGGCTCCCTCTTGGGGTCTCTGATGCAACCACCGTATCGAAGGCAATTGTTTACCCGGCGTTTACACATTTCTTTCACCTTCACTTACCTCCGTCTCCTCTCTCTGTCACCTTCTCAGTCGTTTCAGGATGTAGGACTGGTGTGTGTGATAAGTGTTTGGTGCTGCTCAGAAACACATGCTGGCAATATGAAAGCAAATTTTCTTTGGGACAATATGTTTCTGTATTGATTTGATTTTTCTTTACAGCTGTTAGTTGCACAAATAACCGTCTTGTCCAATTCTGCACACTACATTCAAAAGGAATTACCTTTTCAGCTCTAAATCTTGTTGTGTTCTGCACCTAGACCACTATTTTTAACATAAAATCAAAAGTGTACAAAACTAGCATGGATGCATTAATGTCCTAAAGCATCCTTTACAGTGAGGTTTTGGAGGAAAGTTATGAACAGTTAATATCTTACCTGTTGGAGACATTTTTTTTCCCCACACTTAAATGACCTGGCAGAAATGTGCATTTGTTTGCTTGCTGAGTGTGTTTTTAATGCCTGCAGCAACTCTCTGATGCAACCACTGGAGCGAAGGCAAGTGTTTACCCGGCTGTAAAATTTTGACTAGACTGATGAGCTAGCAAGTAGTCCAGGAGAGGTCTTAGCCATTTTAAATTGCAGCCATTCTAAAATAACTCTAATTTTAAATGTTTTATATAATGTATTAAGATTTGAAATTACCATTCCTCTATTTTATTAAATATATAAATAAAGGCCTAGCATTTCTTGAAGAAATGCATATCACCGGCTGCCTTTCATACCAAATGTTTAGACAAATATCATCATATGATCAGAAATGACAGCAATCACAAAACCAAACTGTTGATCGATTTCTGTAAAAATACATAAATCCCTTTTTTTTTTAATCTGTAGCAACCATGTTGAAACTAGTTGACTCTAAAAAGTAATCAGTTGTAGATGCTGCTGATTTATTTCACGCTGCTGTATTCACTCGTACTTATCCGCTCACACAGACTCATGTTCGTGCTGCTTTTTTTACGATTAAGTGTTTAGCGTATTCTTAGTTTAGCATATTTCTTAGTTCATATCTTGGATCTTATTACTGTTTTTCTTTACAATTTATACTTTTGTTGGATGTAACTGGGCCCCTGTGTACACAATTTCGTTCCACCACATGCACCACATGTGATGCAAATGTCAATAAAGAAACCTTGAACTTGACCATCAGAATCAGAATAAGCTTTATTATCATTGTACCGAAATACAGTGAGATTATGTTCATACAGTTGTCTGAAAGATGGGCAGAGTGCACGTTGCTGCTGCTACTGGAGCGCGGCCTCTTATCCTTTTCAGAATATATTTTTTTTAGATAGAAAAGGTGGAAAAGCCATGAGGATAGGATAGTGGCATTACAATAAAGATCTCTTCACACCGTGTCCTATCATGACACGATTTAAGACATTGGAAAACTCTGCCAGCAAGCACATTTATAAACACATTACAAATACATTTGATGGCAAGAAGGTGAGATTTGTCCATGAAGCACTTCCAGATAGACCATAGTCCTGATAAGATGTTGGATAGCCGGCACAGGTCTGGTAAGCCTCCACAGAAGTTTGATAAGTCGGCCTGTTTTCAAAGTCAACCGGGGGGAGTCTGATTCAGATCAGCCACAATTGTTGATTATTTTTCAGGCAGACTGTTTTTTCTTGTCAGCCTTGAGTCTTGCTAGTACTTTCAAAGTCCAAAATTGCCAGATTAGTGGACATTCCACTGCCATGCTTACAAGCCTCCTCCAACACCGTTTCCAACATGCTGGCGGGTCCTAGATGCTGCAGGTGGCCTGTGCTTCTCACAAATCGCTTCCATCTTACGATTTAGCTCGCAAATCAGCTGATTTTGAGTCCTCAAAGCACGATCCAAACCTTCACAAGGCAGGCAGCCTGACGTGGGCCAAATTAGCTGCAGCCGTTTTCTTTGTATTTTGATAGATCAGGAACCAGCCGATTCCAAAAAGCAGGAAACCTGTCATCATAAATCCAATTATATTTGTCTGCGGCGTCCTCCTGAGACAAAAAGGAAAGACACATCAGCTCCCACATCCATGACGTATCCTGCAGCATGAGTCTCAGCGGGACATGAGGGCTCTCCAGGATGCTGTCGCTTTGTTGAAAATATTTTGTCGATTGCGTTGAAAGTCCAGCTCACCAGATCCATGACAGTAGTTTTCTTTTTGGAATATGTGTAAAATAGGAGCTCTGACACACACACAGAGAGCAACAAAACAAGGAGAACAGGAGAGGGAATAACTATGTCCACCTTGCATGAGAGCGAGTGAGAAAAAAAAAGTCTTGATGTGCATTTAAAGATTACTTTCTGCAAGTGTCTTTAAAATGTGTTGCATTGTTCATGAAACAGTCACACAAACACATCCATACAAGCAAAACACTATCTCCCGCCTTCACCTTTAAGCGATAGGCGATACTCCTTAGCATTAAAAACAAGTTGAGTGAACTTTTCTACAACATCGTCTGTTACCACTCCCTTTTGATTTCATTTGTACTTTTTCCCCTGTGAAGTGTTTTTGAGTCATTTTGTTGCACTTTACGGTAAAGTAATCACACAAAACACTTAGACCGTTTTCTGTTTTTCCTCTCGAGGACAAGCCTCAGTGGACCTAATTTTCTTTCTATGGAAGCATGACATTAAACGAGCTGTTAGAAAGGTCTTCATCTGCAGGAGTCTGAGCAGTGACTCTCACATGACTCTGTTCTAGTGTTCAAAGAGATCGGGCTCAACAGCAGCTGCAACATCCTGAGTCCTGAGCTTAAGTGATACGAGATACCTATTTTGCAAACAAACACACGCACACCTATACACACACTACTTTGAGAAGCAAATGCACTGAAGCAGAAAATTGGCAGGAATGTGCAAGGTTTGCTCTGATATGATCTATGAGATGAAGCAGTGAAGCTTGTCCCTTCATATAATCCAACATGACAGCAGCATCTCCAGCCACCTCTAATCCATTAATCACACATACACACGTTGTACACACAATCAGGCACTTCCATATAAAGAAAAAGACTCAAGTGAGACGGCACATCGACTGAATCTTCTACTCAGGCTGTTCCGTTTCCCTACTGTGATATCACATTAGTTAATATTTACTTTAAAATGGAGGGTCAACTTTAAAATGTAGGCACTTTTTCCTCATAATGTCATTATTTGTCATAATCAAAGACTAAACTCAGCGTGATTACAACCTGATTGCAGTGAATATTGTGTAATGAAGAAAAACATTGTAAAACCTGGCAAAATTCAAAATGTTGAAGTTGAGATCTGTGGACAGCTTATTAGAGATTATTATCTTACCTGTCGTAGACAACTTTTTGAACAACCTCAATTTAGAGAAAGAAAAATAATTCTGAGTATTTCACAAGGACCCGTCTAGTCCAAGCAAGACAAAAACTAAAACGGATCACTGCTGACGCATATGTCAAGCAATTTACAGCAGTTAAGCAAACAATAACAAATAGCAGCTAGCTGTAGGATTTTTGTGTTCACAAAATACTTTTTTTCTCTCAAATGTTCACAAATGTGTTTAAATCTGTGTTAGTGAGTATTTCTTCTTTGCTGTGATAACCCAGCCACCTCACAGGTGTGGCATATCAAGATGCTGATTAAACAGCATGATGACAGCACAGGTGTCCCTTAGGATGACCACAATAAAAGGTCACTCTAAAATGTGCAGTTTTACTATATTGGGGTGGACAGAAAACCAGTCAGTATCTGGTAGGTGTGACAACCATTTGCCTCATGTTGTGCAACTCATCTACTTTTCATAGAGTTGATCAGGTTGTTGATTGTGTGGCTTGTCGAATGTTGGTCCACTCCTCTTTGACGGCTGTGCAAAGTTGCTGGATATTGTCAGGACACTGGCGTATATGCAGATCCAGAACATCCCAAACATGTTCAATGGGTGACATGTCCAGTGAGTATGCTGGCCGTGTAAGAACTGGGATGTTTTCAGCTCCCAGGAATTGTGTACAGATCCTTCCAACATGGGGCTGTGCATTAGTGCTTTCATTTCTAACCAGGGCCCGAAGCCTGGCCCGACCCGACCTGAACGTGGCTGACAATCAAATAATATGGCAACATGGCTTGCCATACTTTCCAATTCTATGGAAGCATGGCTTGCCATTCTTTCTAATTATGTATATGGAAGCATGGCTTACCATACAATCACAAGCCGCATGCGGCCATTTGACCACGTGCTGATCGGCCGACATTGCACGGCCGACACCCCAAACAGGTGAGACCCCAAAGCAGACGTCAGAGCAGGGTCCATGTCTGAATAATGCAGAATGCAGGCAGAAGCAGGGATTTAATGCGCTTTGACAGCCATGAAAGGACAAACACCCCCTCAGCTCTGATCTTCTACCCCTTTTATTCAGCAGCACACGACGGCCGACCGTTAATAATTATATAAGCAGTCAAATATTAATTTTAAATAGTTTTTTTTTGGGGGGGGTCGGACTTGTAATTACTGTTAATTTGTCGGGTCGGGTGGGGTTCTGAAATGATGGTTACGGGCTGGGGCCGAGTCGGATTGGATTTTTTGGGCCCGAATGCAACTTTACCGTGCATTATCATGCTGCAACATGAGGTGATAATTGTGGATGAATGACACAACAATGAGCCTCAGGATCTTGTAACAATATCACTGTGCATTCAATACGCCATTAAAAAAATGCACTTGTGTTCGTTTTCCAAAACATACATCTGCATCTGCCCACACCATAACTCCAACCTGTCATATGCCATCAAATGTGAGCACTTGCCCGCTCAGTTCAAATTAATTAAATTCAATTCATTTTATTTACAACACAAATTGGTTGCAATGACAAACTTCAGTCAGGTGGAGACCCAGATGAGGAGACCGAGCATGCAGATGAGCTTCCCTGAGAGTTTCTGACAGTTTGTGCAGAAATTATTTGGTTATGAATATAGATTGTTGCAGCATCTGTCCAGGTGGCTGGTCTCAGACCATCTTGGAGGTGAAGATGCTGGTTGTGGAGGCCCTGGGCTGGTGTGGTACTCGTGGTCTATGGTTGCGAGGCTGGTTGGATGTACTGTCAAATTCTCTGAAATGCCTTGGCCATATATATTATGGTAGAGAAGTGAACATTCAACTCACGGCAACAGCTCTGGTGGACATTCGTGCAGTCAGCCTGCCAATTGCACACGCCCTCAAAACTTGTCACGTCTGTGGCATTGTGCTGTGTGACAAAACTGCACATTTTAGAGTGGCCTTTTATTGTGGTCAGCCTAAGGCAAACCTGTGCTGTAATCATGCTGTTTAATCAGCAGCTTGATTTGTCAGATCTGTGAAGTAGATGGACTATCTCAGCAAAGGAAAAGTGCTCACTACCACAGATTTACACACATTTGTGAACAATATTTGAGAGAAAAAGGCATGTTGTGTACATTAAAAAAATGTATTGGATCTTTGAGCTCAGCTCATAAAGAATGGGAACAAAAACAAAAGTTTTGCTTCTACTGTATATTTTTTATTCATGGCATATGTGTCAGGTTCTGCAAAGAACAAATGAAAAGGATGAAAAAACACTGATTTGCTGCAACATGGTTCTACAACAGGAAGTTACGATAACTCGATGACAAATGATACCAATCAGCAACTACTATACTGACTCACCTGCACACATTAACATCAACAAAACATTACTTTTGAGGTTTGAAAATTAATTTAGAATATGTCATCATAACATAAATTGTTTATAAGCTTTTCACAGAACGATCTACAGTAGACTGGTTACATCTACATTTACAGTAAATCGTTACAAAATTATATATTTAATATCCCTTGCTAATGAACATTTTCTGTGCAAAACTAATTGAAACAAACAGCCTAACAGCCCTCCGTTGTGAGTGGTGAGTAGTTCCAGTTTAAACTGCTTGTGAATCCAAATACACAACCAGGCCTCTCATGCAGT